TTATTCCTATTTACAGTATGGATGTTTATGTTGTTTGCCTCATGGGTTCAGTGCCTGTGGAGGCCAGAAGAGGAGGCCATTGATTCTCCTAGAATTGGAGTTACAGTCACGAGCCACCGTTTCTTTAGGCCCTGGGTACCACTCTTAAAGATAGGTGTAACCTAAACTTGTTCAAATAGGAATGTGAAGTTTGACCTTCAGAATACAACACAGGTAGGCAGCAGTGAATGAGTGTAAAAACACTAGGGAATGTGAACCAAGTTAGAGATTTCATTCAACATGAAAAGTATCCAACAGTACCCAACTTTATGGCATTATGATGAGTTTCTCTGGCATGGTTACTTCTCCATCATGTTCTCCAGGTAGCTGAGCCTGTGTACAGAATAGCATGGCAGTGGAGTGAATTGCGTACTTTGGGCATTGAGTAGAATGCTGAGTTTGGACTCTGCTTGCCAGACTCTCAGCCTTACTGGATATGCCTTCTCTACAGCTTCTCTCTGTTTAACCAGGGTCTGTGTTTAACCATGTGTTTCTCTCATGGGTCCATTTAGTTAATGTTTCTTAGCATCACATTTTGTTTCTTAATTTCTCAAAACCCATTCTTAATTTATCCTATTTTTTCATACTGCTTTCATGCAGTTGAATTTTCTATCAGCTTTTATCTCTGTATTAAGCCTGAAATTTCCTGCCTCGTATAGGGCTTTTTTATACTCTATTATGACACTACCTGACCTCCACAGAGCCACTCAGTCCTATGCGTGTTACAGTATTTTTACTGTGGTTAGTGGGTTCACAATCTCACTGTGGTCCCACAAATACACACTTTGATGGTGTGCCACTGTTAGGTTCTGTGTTCTGAGAAGCTAGGTGAAGTGGGGTAGTGACTGCCTTGCTTGCCACCTGAGTGGGAATATTGAATCCCACTTTCAGCTAAACTGAAGGAGGAAAAGTACATTTGTTTTAGTGTGGCTGGTTTCTGTTCCGCTACTTCCCTTCAGTGCCGATTGCTCGAGGCATGCCTTCTGCTTTGATCACAAGTGTTTGTAAACAAGCAATCTGTTAATCAAGTTCCAGCCTGTGTTGTGAGACCCAGGACAGCCCCGTTAAAAGCAGCTTCTTTCTGAATGGAATTTCAAAGTAGAAGCCTTTTAGTTTGTTGTTGGGATAGTATTTTTTAAAAATGGAAACCAAAGATGATTCAATCCAGAAACATATTATTTCTTTTTCCTTTTCTGTTGCTGGGGTTGAACCCAGAACTTCAAACCATCTCCTGAAGTACACTCCCTTGGCACACAGCCAGAGAGGTCACACTACAGCGTGACGACAACAAATGAAGGTTGTGGCTCATTCCTGCAACATTCTTTAGGCACAGAGTAACAGCTGGTACTAGTGATTAAGCACTCACTGTTTGCAAAGGACAGTTTTTAAAGTTCTGTACGAGGAGCTGGAGAGTTGGCTCCATGGTTAAGAATACTTGTTGCTGTTGTAGAGGACCTAGGGTCTGTACCCAGTACCCACATGGCTTACCATCCAAGTAACTCCTGCTCCAGGGGATCCTGTACCCTCTTCTTCTCCAGCACCAGAACACATATATGATGGACATGAATATATATGCCAGCTAAACTCTCACAAATAACTCTGAGAGAAAACATAAAGTTCTGAACCAATTCATCTGCTTCTATTAATATGCTAGATCTTACCTCACATAGGCCTCAAATCAATTCTGTGAAAACTGGACCTAGTTATTATATATCCCCATTTCTCAGACTAGGAAGACTGTGCCTTTAGTTCACACAGGGAGTTGTTGAGGCCAGAGTTCAGATTCACACATTCTAGAGACGTCCTTGTCCATTGTACAGACTGCTTCTCAGAATTGGAAATTATGTATGTCAGGGACAAACAGCGGAGGTGTCTAGATTCCTAAGGAACTCCATCTTATGGCTGAGTTTAAAGTCCACACAGCTGTTCCACTGTGTATAGAATAAACAGTGGTGAGTATATAGTAGGGAGGAGTCTCGGGCTACATAGGATTCTGAGGGAGGCTGCTTGCTTCTGCTACCCAGGACTGTCATCTGGGAGCCTGGGGCCTGGAGCCTGGGAGCCTGGAGCCTGGAGCCATCTGGAGGGCCTGGGACCCTATGTCTTGATTTTGTGTCCTCAAGACTTAGGCCTATGGAAGGTCAACAAATGTCATCATTAATTCTAGACCTTTCAGTGTGGTACCTGCTGGCCCTTTGTCACTACTGCAACTTGAATTGAGCCAGACAGACTTGATGACTTGGAAACAGATGTAGAGTCTCGATCTTCATACTGATATATCGAAACGCTAGTGTTTATTTAACTATATGATCATGATCAATTTATATTTCTTTTTACTTTAAAATATAGCTAAGAGAAAATAGATTATATCTGCATCTTGTCATGAGTCTACTGGGGAATTTGTGTTGTGAATGAGGTCACAAAGCCGCAGAGATGAGTTCATGATGGAGGATTTGTGGCCTAGATCCTAACTCAGTTCTCTTTCTAGCATAAATCGTATTAGTAGATGTAAATTTCCCAAAACAATCTGTATTGTGGGCTTAGTTTTCCCACCTGGCACTCCTCCCCCTATCTTCCTGTATTGATACATGTATAACTCCCCCTTTTCTTTGTCTTTTGTTTTTCATCACAGCTATTAAGCTTTATCTGTAAAAGGGTAATTCCAGAAGCTTCAGGATAAATTAATAAACTGGTATCCAGCACACTGAGCGAGAATGTTAAGTTTTCTAAACATAGGAGGGAATTGATAACAATTTCACATGACAAAATAAACTATAATAAAATAAAGCAAAAACCATCCTATGGAAGTTGGACACAGCAGCCCAACAGGGGGAAAGGAGTCCCAAGAGCAGGCAGTAGAGTTGGAGACCCACTTGTTCTCATAGTCAGGAGTCCCATGAAATACCAAGCTGAAAGCTTTAGTACATGCAGAGGACCTGGTGCAGACCCATGCAGGCCCTGTGCTTGCTGCGTCAGTCTCTGTGAGCTCATACACATTACCTTATTGAGCTGATTCAGAGGACTTTGTTCTCCTGCTGTCCTCCATCCCCTCTGACTCTTACAGTCTCTCCACCTCCCCTCTGATGGGATTCCCTGAGCTCAAGGGAGGAGTTTACGGAGACCTCCCATTTAGACTGTCTCTCTCCTCATACTGTCTGGCTGTGGGTCTCTGCATCTGTCCCCATCTGCTGCTGCAGGAAGCCTCTCTGATGATGACTGAACAAGGCACTGATCTATGACTTCAGCAGAATTTCATTAGGAACCATGCTATTGATTTTTTTCTTTTCTTTTTTTTTTTTGAGTCTTATTGGTTTTCTTACAGGTCTCTGGGCTGACTAGTCTCTGGCTTTTGGTTACTCACTCAGTGTTGGGTGGAGTGGGTTCTGTGGAGTGGGTCTTAAGTCAAATTAGACGTTGGTTGGCTACTCCCACAAGATCTGTGCCACCATCGCCCTAGCATATTTTGCAGGCAGGATAGACTGTAAGTCAAAGGTTTCGTGGCTGGGCTGGTGTTCATGTCTCTCTTTTGGTAGCCTGCAGAGTATCTTCCCACACCAAAGAGACTAGAACAGAGGGGCGAGGGCTCTATAGCCCCACCTTTTTAGCTTCCTAATCTGTTCTATTAACATTTTTCAGATTTTATTACACTTTGTGATTTGGGGATACAAGCCCACTGTTGTGGTGTCCTATAGATAGCTGGCTATTTTATTGCCAGTGTGCAGGATTTATGTCATGTAATCCTTTCAGATCTGCATGATGTATAGGCTGTGCGCTCCTGCTTTTACAGTTATGAATCCTAAGGTTAGAGAGAGGAGAGTGGTAAAGGTCTTGCAGCTGACATGTGCAGAGTCTGTAAGACATTTTTGTCACATTCTGTGATTTGACTTCTTTCTAAGGAACATTTACTTTAAAAATACTGTGTGAAAAACCCTAGCAAAGGTATCCTGCCACGGACTGGTGAGATGGTTCAGCGGTTAAGAGCACTAACTGCTCTTCTGGAGTTGTGAGTTCAAATCCCAGCAACCACATGGTGGCTCACAACCATCCATAATGAGATCTGATGCCCTCTTATGGGGTGTCTGAAGACAGCTACAGTGAACTTACATATAATAAATAAATAAAAACCTTGGTGCTGGAGCAAGCAGGGACAGAGCGAGAGGAAGAAGGGAAGGGGAAAAAATGTATCCTACCACCCCATTCCCCTTCTTGACCTTCCCCTCCTCTCTCCTTCCCTACCTTGTTTCTGAGACACAATGCAGCAATGAAGTATTAACATTTAGCCTTGGCTGGTGTCAAACTTGGGTTTGTTCTGCATCAGCCTTTTGAGTGCTGAGATTACAGGTGTGTGCTACCATACCTGGCTAAAGTTGTTACCATTTGAAAAGACAAGCCCTTGAAAGTTTTCATTCAAAAAAAAAAAAGAAAAGAAAAAGAAAAAAGAAATCTTTTACCTACAGTTTGAGTCCCTTAACTTGCTTTCTGCCTCTGCCATTGATCTGCAGTCTCGCAGGCTCCAGGTAGGTGAGCAGCTTCACCCCTCCAAAGACGATATTATGCACATCATCTCTGTCACAGGGCCAACGTCCTTCTAAACCTGGCATTTATAGTTTAGCAGAGATGTTTTTCTTTTTCAAATTGTTTCTAATGTAGCAGTAGTTCATAGTGGTCATGTTCTGCAACGATTTTTGTGTGTTGTCTAATTTGTCTGCTCACTTGCTGTGTTTGTGCATGGTGCGTTGCAAGGGACCTAAGATCTTGTTTACCCTCTCGGATAAGTCTCCCTTCTAAATTGCTCAGCTGGTGATTGACAGGGCAAATTCTTCTTCTTCTTCTTCTTCTTCTTCTTCTTCTTCTTCTTCTTCTTCTTCTTCTTCTTCTTCTTTTTTTCAGAGCCTTTGGAAGGGTTTGTATTTTCCATTTTTGTTTTCAGTATTCAGTGACCCGGTTTGTGTTCTTTTAAGATGCAGGTGATCAAAGGGAAGACGTTTATATAGGAAACCACATGCCTTGCCCTGAAAACCTGAATGGGTACTGCATCCACGGGAAATGTGAATTCATCTACTCTACTCAGAAGGCCTCTTGTAGGTAAGTTGGCTGCTCATGATTGGGGCTGAGAGACTTTTTTCCATTGGTCATTACTGCCTTATAGACTGAATAGTACCACATAAATAGTGTTATCTGCAATATATAAGTTTTAAATCAACCAACAAATCATCTATACTTCGCCCAAACCTGGCAAGAAATATGCAAAGATGAGAAACAGGCCGAATTAGGGTTTGGAGGCTGTGAGCTTAACATCTTTACGATGACATTTTAATATTAATTTGCCATATTCCAACGCTATTTTGATCTTTCGGCAATCTGTCACAAGGTGGTTGAACGACTGAAGAATATATTACGAATAGAGAAGGAATAACTCGAATAAAACATACACTAAAATAGACTTCTAAAAATAAAGGAGTAGGGATGAGGAACCAGGTGTGAATTGTGAGAGGGAACTGGAAGGAGTGTCAGTCTTCAGCTCCTCTACTCCAGAGACATTGCATAACTTCTTCAAGGTCAACAGCAACTTGGAAATAGAGCTGAGAAGAAACTAGACCTCAGATTCCCTGACACACAACCTGAGGGTCTCAGTGTGTTTTGCTGGTGTGAGTGTGTTTGTGTGCACATGTGTGCATATGTTTGAGTGTACGTGCGTGTATGTGTGTATGTGTGCATGTGTGTGCATATGTGTGATTATCTGTGCATGTGTGTGTGATTGTGCATGTGTGTGTGCATGTATGTTCATGTGTGTGTGTGTGTGTTGCTGTTGCTGTCATGAATTGCATGCTGTCTTGTGTCTGGTTAGCCAGGCTGGGTTTATGCAGACAAGGGGGTGGGCCGTTGCTGTCCTTCCACTCACTCCTGCTTCTGGGAGTTGGGTGGGAACCTGCTTCCCTCTCTTATGCAAAACATCAAAACATTTAGAGTTGTTGCATTTTTCTTTTTCTGTATCTGTCCACAGGGTAAGGACTCTGCTCTGGCCCTGGGGTTGCCTGCATCCCTCTTCTTTAGCTCTCTTCCCTTTCCTCCTGCATAAAGATGAATAGCAGGGCAAATGCTTTCACTGTTAACTGTTGAACAGCTCTTTGTAAAAGCCATTGGCTTTTCCCCATGGACAGTTCTCTTTGTCTTTGAAGGAGCTAACTTCTCTGTTTCCTCCTCCCTCCCCAAACATTTGAAAACAACAACTGCATAAAATAGAATGGATTGCATAATGCAAAGCACACAAGCAATTCTACATGTTTGTCATACAGTGGTATAGAAATCTTCGCAGAAGTTCGGGTCCTGATGGCCTGAGATGGGGCATCCTACATCAAGCTGTGGTGCTACTGTCTGTAATTCCACTCTGGGAAAGATGAGGCAGGAAGATCGTGAGTTCTATACCAACCTGAGCTACATAGCAGGCTCCCGACCAGACAGGGCTACACAGTGAGATGCTGTCTCAAAAACCTTCAACAACAAACCAGAATGGGTGCAATAGTGATGTGTGTGTAGCATGCGTAGCTTACTGCATTTGCTTTATAGTATTATAATCAATAGCAACTGATACTAGACCATAAGCCTGTTATATCAAGGACTCCATTTTACAAATTACTTTCTTTCTAGTTCCTAACCTAGTAGGTCTGTAGCAAATAAATTTCTAATAATACAGTGGTTATCAGCTCTCCCATCTTCTCCCAAATGGAGAAATTTTGGAAATGGTAAAGAATTTCTATCCTATGTATTTATTATTCCTAGAATAATAGCAGCTTGTAACTTTCTATTGTGTATTTATACCATTTGTAAGAATCAGGCTAAAATATCATGTGTCTATAGTATTAGCCAGGGATGAATAACCATTAGCCATAATCCTTTTATTAGACTAAAATCTAGTATTATCCCGCCATTGATAGACTAGCTTATTCTTTCTGCCAAATTCCGTGGTAATGGTTTGTTAAACTTACATATATCAGGGATCTTGGGATCTTGTCTTCAGAAAATATTTAGTAACCAAAATGCAGTATGAACAATGCTGTCATCTGTACAAGTGCATGAGGCAATTTGAGACTTCAAACATAGAGGAGGCTGAGGGAAGAAGGAGGAAGTGTACAGAGTCTCCTGGGCTTCTGGCTATGGAAAAACTGAATAGGAGAACTCAGAGAAAGAGGTTTTGGGGAAATGATGTATTCAGTTTCACATGTTGGTGTACTATGCCTACAGGCTATCCACTTATGGATGTTTACTAAGCTGCTCAAGATAGTCGATTTGAAAACTCGTGGGAGATACAAGTTGGAGAGTAGACTTGAGAATAATCCCATCTCTAGCATATCCCTCTAACGTCTGTAGTAACCTGTCCAGGCCTCCTGCACCCATCATTTCCTGTATTGATCTCTGGTATCGCCTCTGTTCCACTTTTACTTTTTCATATTGACACAACTGCAGTCTAGTTCATTCCAGCCTCCACTGGCTTACCTAGCTAGCATGGCTGCAGCCATTCATCTTCTCAGAATACTGTCAGCTCTTCTTGTCTTCCTCACCGTAGCTGATGAACTTGTTTCCAGGCAAACTGAAACTGGAGCAGTATGACAAGGTCTTCCACAGGCTGTCACTGTCACCCAAGCAGTCTTCCTTCCTCCATATCACATATCTTGATATAAATGAGTTTACGTGTTTATAAATATGAGTACTTTATTTCTTCCATGAAGAAACTCATTACATTTCTTTTGCAGAAGAATTTGTGGTCTGGTCTGGTTCTAGTTGTCATTTCTGGTCTCTCTTGAACCCACTCCACTAAGCTTTTCATCTTTTCATCTCCAGTATCCTAGAGAGCTTGTTCTTTATGGTGAAAGTCGCTGGTCAAGTCTTACTGTTAAATTCACATCCGAGTGGTTGGCACCATTTCCCATGTGTTGTGTGTTCTTCTCTTGGCTTCTCAGATGAAACTCTCTCTGGTCTTACTGGATATTCCACTCCTGATTGGTTTCCTCTTTGCTCCCTGACTTCACCGTGTTATAGTACACCACAATTCTATCTTGTGCTCTTCCCAAATGACTACATCTGGGTCTTTTATAGATGGCTCCTAATTTACATAAATCCCAGTCCTTTCTCTTGAATCTGAGGTTCAAATCTGTGATTCCTTTACATTTCCTGTGATGTCTGGCTCAGTCTCACCTGGACTAAACCTCTCTGCTTCCCTAGCTACCACAGGCCTACAGCCACCTGCAACTTTTTCCAATGTCTCTTCACTTGTTCAGACAGAATACCACATGACACCTTACACCTTTGACTCTCTCACTTTCTCATGTTCTCTATATCCTAATTAGTTGAGAAGTCTTAATTATTCTATTTCAGAATATATCTTAACCATAATTTCATTTACAACCATTCTCAGTCTAGGCACCACACCCTCATATGCATGCATGTACACACACACACACACACACACACACACACACACACCTTTTAACATAACCGTTTAGTTTGCTTATGCTTATTATGCCTTTGGGCTTCCACTAGAGGATAAGCTCTTTTCACAACTAAATGCTTTAAAAATATTTGTGTGTGTGTGTGTGTGTGTGTGTGTGTATGAATGTATGTGGCACTGACTGCTGGTGCATGCAGGCTTTGGCCCACATGTGGACGTCAGAGGACAATCTCAGGTCTCCTTAATCTTTACCATTTTTTTTTCTTTGAGACTTCAAGGTCTCTTATTGGTCAGTGCTGTGTAGGTGAACCTAGCTGGCCTGTAGCTTCTTGGGATTCTCCTGTCTCTATTTCCAAAGGATCTCTGAGAGACACAGGTCACTGCATCTAGCTTTACATGCATACAGGGGATCTGAACTCAGGTTCTCATGCTTGTATGGCGAGTGCTTTACCCTTTGACCCATCTCCATAGCTTAGGATTCCACTCTTTTGTTGCTTTGTTTCTCTGAATGCTTCCTGTAGTCTTACTTGAAACCCAGCAGGCTCTCAGTAAATGTGCTAAGTGGATGAGTGAATGAATCTGTGTGTGAAGCTCCGGGAGTGAATGAGATTCCCAGTGGGCTGAACCCCTGGATCTTCCTTTAGTAACTCAAGAGGCAATGGCAACTTAGAACTTCATACTCGAGATGTTTGAAGACTATTAAAGTTAGTTGTGGAAAGTAATATCCAGGGAGATGACTTGAATGATATGTGGTCTAAAGGTTCTTTTTGATATTCTGATTTTAATCTTTGAATTAAGCCGATCTGTCTGGGAGCTATATATCTCGGGTATTGTTGTAGCTCTCTGTGGAGCTATTTTGATTTTACTGAGCTGTGACTTTGAGCCATTAGCCTACCATGAAGGACATTATTTTAAAAGTCCCATGGGTCTTCATTATAGTATTGGATTTACTGCTGCTGTGTTGTTGAGAACGATATTCTCTGTATTAGAAGGTGCCCTCTTTAAATGAGGACCAGAGAAGGGAAGTTCCCTGGAGTTTAATAACAGAAGTAGCTGCTCCTTTGAAATGACTTGTTTGATTTTATTTTATGGAGATTGCTTTTCGTGTCAGTTCTCTTTCCCCTCTCCTGTGCCCCTCCCCTAGTCTTCCTTTCCCTCTCCTTCCTCCTCTCCTTTCTCTCCCCTCCTCCTCTCCCTCCTCCTCTCCCTCTCTTTCCCTCTTTCCCAGTCCAATGGTGTTAATATAGCACCACCACAATCTGATTTTGCACAGTTTTGAAATCTTTCCTTTACTCACTGTTGTCAGATCTTCCTACTGGCCTGAGCTCCAGGCAACCAGTAATTTATTTTCTGTCTCTATAAGTCACCTATTCTATATATTTCTTATTTTGTCTTAAGACAAGGTTTTATGTAGCCCAGGCTAGCCTTACAGTCACTATGTAGCAGAGAATGACTTTGAACTCCTGATCATCCCGCCTCCACCTTCTGAGTGTTGGGAAGACAGGTATGCCCCACAGTGCCTCGTATAGATGATCCTGAGAATCAAACCAAGAGCCTCATGGATGCTAGCCCAGTGGTCTGTCAGCCTAGCCACATCTTCAGACCTTCTCTACATTTCACGTAAATGGAGTGGTAGAGTGTAGTCTTCGGCGTCCGGCTTCTTTCACCTGGAAAGCTGTTTCTAAGTCAACAGTGTCATAGCTATCTGTCTGCACTTGGTTTCTGAGGAGCTGAGGAGTGCCCTGCTCTGGGCATTGGATCCCATGTTTAAATCCGGCTGTCAGCTGATGAACACTGGGTTTGTATACACATTTTGACTGTTGTGAGTGGGCCTGCCCTCAGCACTTGTGTTTATGTGTGGACGCATGCTTTGATTTACTTGGATAAATGCTTAGGAGTGTAATTACTAGGTCCAGTGCTAACCCTCTTTTCAAGGACTTCCAGCCTGCTTTCAAAGCATCCTTCCCATTTCTGTCGTCATCTGCAAGGCCGTCACTAGCATTTGTAGGCAGTCACCTTACTTTCTGATCTAGGCAGGGCTGTGGGTGTGTGGTGCTAGTCTACTGTGTGTGCTTGTTTTGGGGTGCATGGTGCTAGTCCAGGGTGTGTGCTTGTTTTTGTTTGTTTGTCTCGTTTTGGGGCAGGTTCTTGTGTTTCACAGGTAGTCTTCGAACATGAAAACCCCCTGTCTCAGCCTCCTGAGTGCTGGGATTTCAAGTATGTGCCACTATATTTGACTTTCTTTTTGGCCAATTCTATATCTTCTCTGGAAAATGGAGTTCAGATTCTCTGCCCATTAATTAGTGAGTGATTTTTTAGAATGCATGTTTTAAATTAATTTTTATTTAATTATTTTTAAGATAGATTGTGTGTGTGTGTGTGTGTGTGTGTGAATGTCTGTGAGGTGAGCAGTCAACCCGTGGGAGGGAGTCAGTTTTCACCTTCCACCATGTGAAGTGAGATAGATCTTTCTTATTTCTTCTGCTCCTGTGCTATGTATTCCCGGCCAGCTCTGGACAGTTCAGTCTCCAACTCCCACCCCACCCCTACCCTTCATTTCCCCATCTCCTTGTATGACAGATTACAGATGTGAACCATTGTGTCTGCCTTTCCCCCCAGGGATCAAACTTGGATCATCAAGTTTATGTAGCTGTAGCCGACGCTCCGGCTCCTCAGCCACTCGTGTTTTATGTGTTAGGAGTACAAGTCTCATGTCAGATCTGTAATTTGTAGTTGTCATTTTCCTTTGTACGGGCCGCCTTTTCACTTTGATAATGCCTGTAACCATGAGGATCTTAATTTTGATTTATCCCAGTTTTTGTTTTTAGTTTTTTTTATTTTGATGTCATGTCTAAGAAATTATTGCCCAATCTGGGGCTGTGAAACTTTGTAATGCTTGTTTTTTCTTAAGAGCTTCTTTATAGCTTTAGCTCCTACATTCGGATGTGTGACCCGTTGTCTTAGTTTGCTTTCCATTGCTATGATAGAAGCATCATGACCAAAAGCAACTTGGGAAGGAAAGGATTTATCTCATTTTAGACTTATAAATGTCACAGTCCTTCACTAGGGAAACCAAGGCAGGGACTGAAGCAGAAGCCATGGGGGAACATTGCTTACTCCCTGGCTTTCAGGTTCATGTTCAGTGACCTTTCTTGTACTCCCAGGCCTACCTACCTGGGAATGGTACTGCCCACAGTGGGCTTGGCCCTCCCACGTTGATCAACAGTTAAAAAAAACGAGACACACAACTTGCCTGCACGCCAGTCTGATGGAGGCACTTCCTCAGCTGAGGCTCCATCCTCCCAGATGACTGCTTTTGTCCAGTTGAAATAACTAACCAGCACGTCCTCTTAGAAGCTCAGCCTCACTGCATGGATCCCAGTTTCTCAGGATCATATCTGAAGACACGGACTTCCACTGACTCACCCTAACACCTCTGTCAAACAGGTTAACCAACCAGAGGTGTGTGCTCTACCTTTGGCCTCTCAGTTTGGTTCCATGGCCAATGTGCTGCCTCACTTTTGAATTTTCTGAGGTCAAGAACTCAGTGTAGATCTTCCTGGCAGGCATCCACAAGCCCTAGAGAGAGTGTGCAAGCCCACGATACCCTGGTCTCCCCCGCTGCCCCACACCCAGATTTCTTTTCTGTTGTTGTTGTTTGCATTTTACAATAGTGCTGCTTTAAAAGCTTTCATAACCAAGTGTGGGACAGCAGTGAGCACACATGGATGCCCAGTGAGCTCCCACATATTAGTGCTTTTAGTCCTGTCAGCTTAAAATAGGAGTCTTTCTTCTGATAAATGTCCTTAGTGTTTCCCTATCAGACGATCCTCACCGGCTGATGATAGTGTCTTTATATTTACCCTTAATAGATAGTTTGTAAGGTTAGCATCCACTTGGCTGCTTTGCACTGTTTGTTTAATAACTTATTTTCATCTCCCCTGCATATTAAGTGTTTATGCTGTTTACACTGAAGAGGGTCTTGAGTATAATTTGGTGCTGTGTCCATAGAATTGTAAATGTTTCCTCCTTTTTATTCAGTAATCGTATTCTCTGGCATCTATCTTAAAGAATAGGTCTAGATGGAGAAGGGCACTTTCATCGGGTTCTTACTTTATCCATTTTCTCAGTGTGAAATCTGGAGACAACAGATGCATCTCAGAATGGATAGGCTAGTTCCTACACGGCTGTGGTTCTAGTTTAAACGATGGTGATAAAGATAATCTAGTAACTTCAAAGGTGGTCTGATGAGTATGGAGGAGGTTATCACTACTCAGAACAGACATGAAAAACCACACATCTCCCCCATGGCAGTGGAGATATATTTTTCTACTCCTGCTTAAGTTTTGTTGTTCTTTTGTATTTTAACTTAAAAGCCTTGATGATATAAAAAAAATAATTTCTTTCAGGTGTGGCAATGCACAGTAATATCTCCTGGGAGCTGGTTCTAGGCCAGCTAGGGTTACATTATGAGAATTTGTCTCAAAAAATCAAAACAAAAACAAAATCAAAAACACTCATATACTCATGTGACTGTGGTGCATTCAGCCATAAATGAGACGTCTGAATCACTCCCCCTTCCCCATGGATCGAGAAGCGTTGTGTAGGAGAGGGTGGCAAGATGGTATGAGTCAGAGGTTGCTGAACACTGGAGTGAACAGTGCCCTCTGGACATAGCAGGTCCATTGTGCTATGAACTCACAGCAGCTGTGGCTCTTGCACAAGACCAGCACAAGGTCAGTCCAGTCAACGGTCCAGCATAGAGAGGGGAGGGGCTCATGAGCCACCACTCCTAACTGAGCACTGTTGACATTGATGGCTATAGGAGAGGGAGACTCTCTTTCTTGAGGGATGTATGGTCCCTGGTAAGTTGATCCTGTTCCAGTGGATGGTCTCACACCTGTGTGTGTATTGGCAGCACAAGTTAAACCAATGGATTAATAATAAAAAAGAAACAAGGACATGAGGTTGGGAGGGCTTGGGGTTAAATCTGGAAGTTAGGGGGAAGAATTAGGCAGGGTGAGCATGATCAAAATACATCGAATGTATGTATCAAAGTCTCAAAGAATAAGAATAGTATATTAACAATGTAATTCTTACAGGGATTGCTTTTCCCCCTTTCAGATGCGAATCTGGTTACACTGGACAGCACTGTGAGAAGACGGACTTTAGTATTCTCTATGTAGTACCAAGTAGGCAGAAGCTCACCCATGTTCTTATCGCAGCCATTATTGGAGCAGTACAGATCGCCATTATAGTAGCAATCGTCATGTGCATAACAAGGTAGGTAATGACATAGAGTGTGTTCTGTAAACTAGACACTGATAGTTGTAAATCAGAGAAAAGCGTATTTACTGAGCTAGGGCCCTTATGGCTTCCACTCCATCAGGCAGGGTTCTCCTGTCTGGTTCACAAGACAGAATTCCCATGTGGGTCTGACTTCTCCCTGTCTTCCTTCTTTAGAATATGTGCAGGAACTCATTCCCAGAGTTAGAGACATACCTGAGTTATAGGCAGAGGTGTGAGAATAGTCCATGTAATCAAGGAGGCTAGGGATCTTGGAACTGTGCATTGTGAGTGCTGACTTCAGGGTAAGTGGTTGTAGCCAAGTTTCTGGAAGTTTCTGTACATTCACAGAAGAGCATGACAGTTGCAGCAGTGCTTTAAGTCTTGCACAACTGTGATGTGTTTTATGGTCTGGGAATGAATGCACTTTACCCGTAGTAAGTGTAACAAGAAAGAAAGCAACCATCAACTTTAAAGATGACCTTTTCTGATGGCATCATTGGCTTAACATTGCTCCTTATTCTAGATTACAGTGGTAAGTCAAAGGCTTAAAAATGTTATGTTAAAATGTTATGTTAAAAATAAAAGCACAGGGGCCAGTGAGATGGCTAGTGAGTAAAGGCCTCTGCCACCAAGCCTGATGATCTGAGTTTCAGTCCTAGGACCCACATTGTAGAAGATAACCAACTCCCCATAGTTGACCTCTGACCTACACACACGTGCACACATGCACACGCACACTGAATAAATAAATGTTAAAAAAGCATTCATCATATGTTAAAAGACTTCTTTGCAGCACAGTTGACAACAAATGGGTGTTTCAAATGGAGTAGAGACATGTCAGACTGAACTGGAAAAGTCAGAGCAGAATGTCCTGCCTTCCGTCTTCTCTCCTTGCTTCTTCCTCACCTCTTCTTACCTCCTTTAAGGTTTGGTTCTCATGTTCCATGAACATTATCTTTGTAATCTCCCGCCTTTGGGGGGCCAGGGCTTGGGGCAGAGAGTCATAGCATATCAAGTAGATATTGACAAGCTGATTGGATTTATAAGCCTCTCCAAGGACTGGAAAAAGACCTTCAAGTAGTCCCAGCACCCTGGAGGCAAAATGGTAAATCTAGAAATGATGGAAAAATGTTCTCTGAATAGCTGATATTCTTCATGAAGTTTAGGCACTAAAGTCAGCATGCTTTATCCCACAGAACAGATGATCTGCCTTTCGGCAAGACGACTGAGCATAAAATTGGGCAGTAGATCAAAGCTGGGACATAATGCCATAACAAACAATGACAACAGGAAAAGAAGATGGGAAAAAACATTTAACAGCCTCACGGCCGTGGCCATTTAACACAGGCTCAGAGGTTAACCACCTTGCCTGCGGTCATTCAGCTAGCAAGGGGAAAGTGCCTGGGTTTGGATTCAGTGCGGTTTGATCCTTCAGCCATTCCTCTTTCTACTGAACCTTTGAGAAGCTGGCCATGTTGAGTTGTGTTGGGATTAGACCAGCCAGGTATGACCATTGCATGGGGACAGGAACCTAACTTGATGTTGTCAAGGTTTAGTGTGTCTGAACCCTATTAATGGTCATATGCAGAACTGTTGGAATGGGGCTGATGTGTGATGAGAGAGAACATTTAGGCCATTGGTAGAGGAAAGCCCCACGTGGTAGGAAGAGTAGTTATATTGTCCTGACATCTGTGCCACATTACAGCCTCATCAATTGCCATGTAAGAAACACAGCCCTTCCCCACCCCAACCCCTGAATAGCTTGCTGTCTTGTGTGTGGAATGTTGTGATTATGTTCTTGGACCACACCATTGAATTTTTAAGGCACGCCTCTCCCATGTAGTCCATTAGGGGACAGCTGTATATATCCTTGATGGCTGTTTCTTGTGAGGCATCTTCCTTTAAATGGATGTTCCTACCACCTCACTTATCTGTGAACTGTGTTTTCTTCTTTTATGCTTGGAATCTTTCATTTTTCAGACTCTTAGAATGACAGATTGGCAGGGGCTTTGAACATGTCTCAGCCAAACTCTTTACTGTATAGAAGAAAAAAGCCTGGTCCTGGGAACTTGGAATTCCTCCCGGTCATGGTGGGTTAGTGGCAGTTGAAGCCAGTTGCTTGGCCTGTCAGCCAGCTCCCTTATTATGAAATGGATACGATCCCAGCCCTGTCTACATCAGACTGTATTTATAAGGATTAGTGAGAGAAAATCCGTTGAAACCATCAGAAACATTGTCATTAAGGCTTTTTTTAAGCTAACGCAAAGCAGCCCTCTTTGAAACTGAATGAAAACATGGGATATTAGAGCAATAGAGCAAATACAGTGGAAATGGTCTTGTAATGTCACTGTTTCCATGAAGGAGCATTGAGTTTGCACAGATGGCTACTACTAATACTAGGTGGTTATTACTAACAGTAGCATCCAAACTCAAAATGACCAGAATTCACGTCAGTGCTTCTCTCTGCATTTGCACATTCCTCTGCAAGAGCCAGTCATGGAGTGAGAGGGAGGGATAGTTACACTGTCCTGAGACTTGTTGCACAGTAGGGCCACCTTTACTGAAATATAAGAGCAGAGACCAGGAGTCCCTCACCTGTAGGGTCCCAGTCTCCAGGGCGGTTCTGTGGTGTGCTGCAGATAGGTGTACACCAGCTCTGACTTGTTTCCTTGACTGCAAGGACTTCAGTGCATTCTGTCTGAGATCACCAATGCAGTGCTACTTGGTCTCCACCAGCGAAGCTTTTCTTGTTGTTTTTTGACACTTCGATAATGCTCAGGAAAAGTACCCAGATCAGCATCTTTTCTACTGTCACAGCGATCAATCACAGGAATTGAGGAGTTACCGGGACAGAGAGGCAGGCATCCCTCTCAGAAATACGTATCAGCAGCGTGTGACCCCTCCCAACAACCAGCCGTTATGCCTGTCCTCATTTTGCCTTGAAGTAACCATCTCTTTCTTCCTTCTCTAGTGGGGTGCAGTGTGTGAACTGTATGTTACTTTGACATAGATTAAACATTCTTAAATGATTTTGTTTTTTAATTTCTGTATTTTCATGCAACAGAAAATGCCCCAAGAACAATAGAGGACGACGGCAGAAGCAGAACCTAGGTCATTTTACTTCAGATACTTCATCCAGAATGGTTTGAGCTGCTGACTTTTATATGCACACTGACCACGTGATGTACATTTATTATGTCTTTTTTTAAAGAATGGAAATATTTATTTCAGAGGCCTTATTTTTGGACATTTTTAGTGTAGTACTGTTGGCTCGTATTTAGAATATTTAGCTACAACAGTTTTTGACTGTTTAGTAGTCTCTGTTTTATGTTTTTAAATACAGAAATTGGCTTCACAAATTTGTAACACATGGTAATACTAAGACTTGCTCTTTATCCATGGAATGTAATATTTTTGCAGAGATGGATGGACCCACTCCACGGTGGTTATAAAGTCATACTTCTTCCCCAATAACCACAGCAAATGACAAAGCATGAACTAAAAGTAAAGATGTTTACAGATTACTTTTCTTACAAAAAGAAAATCTAGAGGACACTGTGTTTAAATAGATATTTAAATGTTTTTGAGATTTAGTACCTGATTTTTTTAGACACTTCCCCTATTGCATGAGCTGCAAAGCTGTGTGTGTGTTAGATGTAACATATTTATAAGCTGTATGAACTGGAATGGATAGTTTCTCTCTTTGAAGAAATAATCCTAATAATTTTAAAAGTACCTGGGAGTTAATGATGGGACAGATCACTGAAAATAGATTAAGATATTGACAAGATAGGGTATTTAATGAGCAGATTGGAATAAAACCTACAGTATCAGTTAAACGACTTTAATACATATTCATTTTTAAACATTGTATTTGTTTTAATATAAATGTACAAATTGTATCAGTGTTTGTGAATACAATGCAGAAATAATTGTTAATGATTGGTGCTCTGAAAGTGAGCTTAAAAATGACCTAAGACCTCTAATTCAAATCTGTCCTGTAGTAGCTCTGTTACTAGATTGTTGGTGTTTAAGTCTGAACTGTGAGTAGACTGTATGCAGATGTTTAACGTGTAGTTTAGCCAGTCAAAAATATGCATGTAGAATTTAAAGACTATGTTTAAACTTAAATAATAATTTTAATAATTTGATTTGGAAAAGCATGTTATAATATAATGTTTTCACTATACGGTCTGCTTTGTGTGTTCATTTATTGTATTCTTTGATATTGGTCTGTTAGTACTCATAATAGGTGAACTTCATAGGACAAGAAGATTGCAGTTCAGAATTCCCTTTCTTCTTACAAACTATCCCTTGAAATGATTTAAAGAGAAAAACTTTGTTCAGTGTTTGGAGCTACTTGGCTTGCAGGCTTAGTATGAGTACCATAGTGGCTTTAGTGAACTTCTTCAGACAGCTTTCCCCTTCCACCCACACAGACTTATTTGAGGTCCTTAGTCAGTCAGCAAGCATGTTTGGAACTGGCCCCGGTGCTTTGCAAAGGCTCATGTTGCAAGGCAGTCACGTATGGGCACTTGTAGTTATAAATACTTGACCACTCTCCAGGGTGTGGTTTTCAGCCCTTTAAAGCAGCTTTGTTGCCTGCTACCAGGCCGACTTTTGGCTCCGAGTGTAGGAACCGATTGCCGTAGGACATCTGCTGAGAAAAAAGTAAAATGGAACACAACGGGTCTGCTTCAAATGCTGGTAAAATCCACCAGAATCGACTGTCAAGTGTGACTGAAGATGAAGACCAAGATGCAGCTCTCACTATTGTGACTGTGCTGGACAGAGTGGCCTCCGTCGTGGACAGTGTGCAGGCAAGCCAGAAGAGAATTGCGGAGAGACACAGAGAGATGGGAAATGCGATCAAGTCCGTCCAGATCGACCTGCTGAAGCTCTCGCAATCACACAGCAACACGGGCTATGTTGTCAACAAGCTGTTTGAGAAGACCCGGAAAGTCAGCGCTCATATTAAAGATGTGAAGGCCCGGGTAGAGAAGCAACAGGTTCATGTAACCAAAGTTGAAACCAAGCAGGAAGAAATAATGAAGAAAAACAAATTCCGAGTGGTAATCTTCCAGGTAAGCTTGTACTTGGAGCCAGCTGGGTGACCATCATCCCTTCCAGCCTTTGCTATCGGGTCACAGGGGTTTCCTGTGTCACATCTCAGCCATGGTATATGGGAATATACTGAGTTCAGCGAGTGGTCACCTCGGGGGAGAGAGACATTTCTAACCAATACTGCTGTCACCCTTGGGTCAGGCTTCTTACTGGTCATGGAATGTGAACTGTGGCTTATAGCTCAGGCTATTTCTTGCCTTTGAAACTCAATAGTGTCAGGTTCTTTCAGCATTTGAGTCCTATTAAGCACAGTGACCCAGTAGACTTAGAATGTTGGAACCAAAAGGGTCCTAAGAAATCTCAAGTTTAAAAACTATCTTTGTTTTACATAAAAGAAGAAACCAGGAGGGTCAGAGGATGCAGTTCAGTAATAGAACACTTGCTCATGTGGTTGAGGCTTGTGTTGGACTTACAGCATCCTCTTAAAAGAAAAGAAATTAGGACCCAGCACACCGGCAGTCATGGTTTTATTCTTACCAAGAACCCAACCAGTAAATCAAAAACTCTGAATATAGTTTGTCCATTTAATCTTTTTTATATTATTTACAATAAGAAAAGCTACCTGTTTCTAAATGAATAATTAGGCCATTATTTGTTTTTAAAATGTTGACTGTTTTTGTAAGACAGTCCAGCATGTAGTTCATGCTGACCTAACCCTCACTATGTAATAATTCAGGCTGGCCTCAAACTATGGTGGTGGTCCTGCCCCAGCCTCCCAATATAGCTCTTGTAAATTCAAAGGGACAAGTTGAACTCTTGAGCCACATTAAGAATGAACCATGATAGGAAAAGATGAAACGGATGACAACAGGGTTCTTTGATCACCCACTTAAACACTGGCCAATACAGAACTGTAAATCCAAAGTGCGAAGGTTAGGGAAGACCCACCTTTCCTGTTCTGCTCTTGGGAGAATCAGTTGGCACAACATTTTGGAAGACATTTTACATAGTGTGTATTATGAACTTAAAAAATTCCCAAACCTACTGGCTCCCAAATTTCATGTCCGAGGATTTGTTATAAGCATAAAATCAGGAATGTGTGGGAATGTTCATCCACGAATATGCAGAGTTATATACTTTAAAAGTGGAAGTCTGTGTGCACAGAACCCTAGAATAGTAAACACAACATGAAATAAGAGCACAGTTGGTGGAAACATCCAGCCTGTAACCTTCACATTCTTTGTGCATTCGGCAGTGCCCCAGACACTCTGAGTGGTCAAGTTACGCTGGAATGGGCGTGTGACAGTCTTGGATCTGTCTTTAGGAGTCCATAGGTTATTTAGGAAAAAAAAAATAGGGAATTTCAAAAATGGAAGAGTAAACTGGTATCTTCAGAATTCCTTTCCCATCACCCTTTTCTTATAGGCTCATAAAGGCCTTTCTCTAGGCTTAAGAATGTCAACTGATTTTAAGTGTCCATTCCGATACTGGTGCAGACAGTGGTGAGCTGCACGTGGGACCGAAGAATAGATCCATTCACCGACTGGGATGTCAGCCACTGCCTGGCTGCTCACCCTCCATCTGCATGTATTATGTCAGGAAGTACGCTTGGGTTCCATGTGTCTGGGGAACCTATATGCAAAGCAGTTCCCCCAGGATTCACAAAAGCTATAGCAAGGACACAGAAATTTCCCCTGGCTCCATCTGTTGATGTAATTCTCTCTCAGACCCCTACCTAAAAGCTATTTTTCTATTTGTCTCCATTCTCTATAACTTACTGGTATTTCCCTCCTGCCTTGGGATCCTATGGTTCCCTAAAGAAACGGAGAGGTACTAGTTAATGATAGTGCTCTGTTCTTTTAAGATAGACTACCTTGAAGATTCTTCAAAATTAAGATGTTTCAATTATTCAGCAGCTCGTCCAAAAAAAATAAAAACAAAAAACAAAAAACAAAACAAAACAAAAAAAACAAAACCCAACTGCTATCTTTTATAAGCCTATGGGGAAAATATGAAGTCTTACCTTATGGACCTAAGACTCAAATTCATGTACTTGTTATAGGTTAGAATGTATATAGATATGTATGATACTTACATGGTTATTTTTAGCGGTTAAGAATAACCTTAGTTAATTATCATAGTTATTTGAAGATTGTCCCGTCTAAAATATTTAGAAAATATTTGAAACTGAGCTAGTCTGCTAAAGTATATCTTCATTTTCCTTTGAGATTTTCCTTAAGTTTTCCCAAGCATCTCTTTTGCTGATGATACGTATGTCTTCTACAGTTGTATATGTCTAAGCTTTTGCCAAATTCTGGATGTTGGCATTTAAAGATTGTCTGACATTCTTATCCAAGTTGTTTTCTCTTTGAACACTGGTGATCCCTCTCCCTGTGTGTGACATGAGCCACAGAATTATCTTCTCATAATTCCAGTTACTTAGTAAGCACAAGTCTGTGGTTCCGAAGTTTTGAGCCTCTTCTAATGATAAGTTCTGGACTTCTGTGCATCCAAAATGTTCCTATCTGTGTTCGTTTTATACTGATTCACTTCCACTTTACTCTGATCCGTAGTATTCGTTCTGTTATAAAAATGATCCTTTAAACCAGGTGTGGTGGTGCAAACCCACAGTTCCATCAATTGCCAGGCTGAGGCAGGAGAATTGGGAATTCAAATATACTGTGAGTTTGAGGCATGCTTGAGCTATGTGAGACCGTATCTCAAAAACAGTGAAAAGCTAATTTTACCTGGACCTGACACAGAACTGTGATTGTATTCAGAAGTCAACTATAATTAACCCCAGTAACCTTCTATTATTAGTACAGTGTTTGCCCTTAACTCACAGTAGTACCATCTCATGGAGGCTGTGATAGATTCCCAGGCAAGTCTTTTCCTACCCTTGTCTCTGTTTGCCTGATTTTGTACTGTGTGCTGTGTATTTGAAGAGAAGGGCACGTGATATTCCAGTTTCCCTGTGTCTGATGCCTTCACTGCAGGATTATGGGGATCTCTACCTACCAAGTAATACCCTAATACCCTTTGGCTCTTTCCTTTTCTAATTATACCTTCTTAGACTTGCCCAGCCCACACTTTTGCTGAGGCGGCTCCCCACAACAGGTGTCAGGAAGGGAGAGGAGTGACTTCCCTGCCTCTAACTGATTCATCAGAGAGTCATGAGACACCCACTTCTGCCTCTTTTGTTGGGGAGAGGTGGGACTCATGAGCATTCTGATCCTGTAGCCAAAATGTCATTTAAATTAAAGAATTAGATTCTAAGGATGCCCTCTTGACTATCAAGCTGGTCACGTTTTAGAGTATTTGCAGACATCCTTCTTGTGTATTTATTGAATCTGTTGAGTGGAATCAACCTGACTCTCAAATGTCAACACCATTTCTTTGAGAAATTGTAACTCATGGTCCAGTTTTTAAAAATTTCATAATTCCTGAAGTTTTGCCTGTTGTGTTTTAGAAATAATCTCTAGATGGCACACTGGGTTTCTTTCACCTGTGCCCTGTGCTGGCCTGTCTCTAGCGGGTTCCCTTCTGACACAGTTGGCAGAGTCTATTTCTCTCTCTCTCTCTCCTCTCTCCTCTCTCCTCTCTCCTCTCTCCTCTCTCCTCTCATTTTCTTCCTTTTTTCTTCCTCCTTTCCACCTCCATCCCTTCCTTCCTTTACTATCTTTTCTGTGTAGTTAAGGCTGGTATTGAGGTTGTGGTCCTTCTTCCTCATCTCCTAAGAACTGGAGCTATAGTCATGGTCCACCATGGTAGCAAAATAAAGCTTTTAAGATGACTCATTTGATAGGAGACTTCACTTGACCTGAAGTCATCTGGGGAATGGTATATAATTTTCCCAAAGTCAATTTCATTCTGAATTTTGAGATACCCCTCTGAGGAGTTTTGAATGAAACACCACTCTGTCTTCTGATCTTTTGACTTGTGTGTGTGTGTGTGTGTGTGTTTGTGTGTGTGTGTGTGCGCGCACGCATGCATATGATGTGTATGTATAAGTGTGGGCACAAATGTGCTACAGCATGTGAATGGAGTCCAAAGGACGCCATTTCAGTTTTTGGGAACTGATTTTTCTCTTGCCGTGAGATCTGAATTCAGGTCATCAGGTTTGCTTGGCAAGGATTTTCTACCTACTGAGCCCAAGCTCTTCTTTTTTACATGAGTTCTGGGGGCTGGAGTTAGGTTCTCTTGTGTGGCAAACTCTTCACTGCTGGGGCCTTCCCAGGGAGCCTTCCCCAGGCACAGAGAGAAGTGTTGGAGGGTCTTTGAAGAAAGGGTGGCCTGTAGAAGAGATAGGGAATCTTCTAGGAGAGGGCGTGAGCCAGGCACAATGGTCAGGGGAATCTCTCAGCGGACGGACTAGCAATCACGTGCTTCTTTATTCAGGTTTCACAGACAAATCACCGGTCTGCTCCCCAAGTGATACAGAGTATGTGCTTGATCTTTCTTTACATGTCCAGGGTAACAAGTTCAATTACAGTTAGAAAATACAAGCAGAACAGACATTATCATCATTATTACTATTATTATCTCTGTAACTTCAATTTAAAGAATCAAAAGAAGTCTCCTCCAAATCAAACACGTTTATTATACGACAGCCTGCCTTGAGGTTGGCAGTATTGGCTGTTTGAAAGCACCGCAGACAAACAAGAGTATCTGAACTGATCTTTTTATGAATAGCAAATACAAATTATACAATAACTTCTTTTACTATATGTTTTATCATCTACACTATAGAGTAGAAAAGTTTTAGTTAATCTATCCTATTTACTGAATTCTATTCTTTCAGGGATGTACCCTGTATGACTTTCTATCTTTAAACTATATTTTTTTAGAGACCTAAGCCTATAATAAAAAGAGACCTTGAAACTATAACCTATTCTCCTGGCTAGTCAGTTTGTCAGTTGTCTCTGTTTACTCTGCACCAATTATACTGTTTGAGTTAGCTCAGGGGCAGATACCCCAAGAAGATTCCTGGAGTGATGGCCTCATCTAACTATGTGCTCATCTATGCTCAGTGATCTCCAGGGCAAAAGGAAGACTTCCAAATGTGGCCAGATAAAGTTAATTTTACTATTTTCCTAATAAGACTCAGACATAATTTTTTTTTCAGAAAAAGACATAAAAAGAATCATAAAGTAGAAAGTTCCCACGAATGCAACACGCAGAGAGCAAAACCCAAAAGTTAGAGACAGGAGGACAGCAAGTATAGCAATCCACTTGGCTTGGCTGGAACTGTGTCAAGCAGCTGTGCTTCTCGCCACTTTTAGTGGATATGGCTGTGTCGCTTCACCAACTGAGTGATCTCCCTAGTGCAAGAGTTTCATGACTTTAAAAAAAATTACATATGTATTTACTCTTTAATCCTTTTTTGCAGCCCAGACTTCACCCTCCTCTCAGTCTGCTCCCCAAGTGCACCCCATTCCATAGCTCCCCCTCTTGTCTCTAACAGGATGTCTCCAGCCCCACCACCACGACACCAAACCTCCCCACTCCCCAGAGCCTCAAGTCTCTTGAGGGTTAGGTGCATCTTGTCTTACTGAGGACAGACCAGGCAGTCCTCTGCTGTATATGTGTCAGGGGCCTCATATCAGCTGGTATATGCTGCCTGGTTGGTGACTCAGTGTCTGAGAGATCTCAAGTCCAAGTCAATTAAGGTTGCTGGCCTTCTCATGTGGTTGCCCTCCTCCTTGCTTCTTCCAGCCTTTCCTCAATTCAGCCACAGGGGTCCCTAGCTTCTGTCCATTGGTTTGGTGTAAGTATCTGCATCTGACTCTTTCAGCTGCTTTTTGGACCTCTCAGAGGACAGCTATGCTAGACTCCTTTCTGCAAGCACATTATAGCATCAGTAATAATGTCAGGCCTCCCCTTGAGCTGGATCCTAATTTGGGCTGGTCACTGGACCACCTTTCTTTCATGCTTTTCTCCATCTTTGTCCCTGCAGTTTCTTCAGTCAGTAACAATTCTGGGTCAGAGCTTTTGACTCTGTGATGGCCATCCCTCCACTTGCTGACCTGTTCCTACACTGGAGATGGACTCTACAAGTTCCCTCTCCCTACTGTAGAGCTCTTCATCTAGGGTCCTTCCCTTTGATTCCTGAGAGTCTCTCACTTCCCAGGTCTCTGGTACATTCTAGAGGGTCCCCCCACCTCCTATCTCACAAGGCTGCCTGTTTCCATTCTTTCTGCTGGCCCCCAGGGCTTCAGTTCTGTTCCCCACTGCCTTGAGTTTCATGACTTTTAATGTCATCTCTACATAATGGTTCTTGAATGCATGTTTCTAGCCCTTACCTCCCTCCTGAATCCCAGTTGCTCAGCCTCTTTGCCTGCATACCACACTCCAAGGACAGGTCTCTTGCTTCTGTGTTGTCAGTTAATGGCTGATTCTTCCCTCTGTTGACCTAGCAATATGTCCTATGGGTTCTGACTTTCAAAGCAGATCTGCAGTCAGAAGACTTCTCACTCATTTACACGCCCACAACCACCCTGCTCTACCTTCCCTTTGCTTAAAGTTACCACTGCTCTGTCATTCTCCTTGCTTGCCCAACCTATGTGCCTTGTCTCCAGCAGAGTGACTCTTGCACAGCATGGGTCAAATCATGCCACCGCTGTCTGCAAAACCTTGAGAAGGCTTCCTGTCAGAATAGTAACGTCTGTCCTCACTATTGGCCCTAGAGCTTCTCTTGACCTGGTCTTCTCAACTCTCTGCCTGGGGAAAATTAGGGCATTTGAATTGATTCTTGAAGAAAGCTACCATTTGTAAAGCTAAAAAAGAGGTTACGGGGCATTGAAGATAAAGGCAGTTATGTATACGAAGGTGTAGAATGTTAGTGTCCAACTCCTTGGCACTGAGATGTGACATGAACATCTGCAAATACGTTGGGGCAAGTCCTAGCTGTCCTGTGATTTATATCCCAGGGTGCTATAGGGTGGACCCATCTTTTAGAGGGTTCAAAATCTTTTGTGTTTGAGGAACTTGAGAATGGTTTGTGTCTCTGGGCTTGAGAATTGGGAAAGTAGGGTCAGGTCAAGAGCTTTCTAAGCATACTGGAAGGTTCAGGTTCAATCCTTAAGCACTGGTGGGTTCTCAGAAGTCTTTGGTAGGTTACAGGTTATAACTCAGCTCTGCTTGTAAAAGCATTTCTCAGGAAACCCTCAGGTAATGATCTGGAAGGAGAGGGATTGAGGAGAGAGAGACCCTGAAAGATGCAGGCTGGGAACAGACATCACAGAGGTGTAAGGTGTGGTCAGAGGTGAAATGAAAGCTGGCACCTGCTACCCAGAAAGCACTCACATGCATTGCTTTCTCTCCTTCAGGAGGATACTCCCTGCCCCGCGTCCCTGTCTATTGTTAAAGACAGAAGCCTGCCCGAGAACCAGGAGGAGGCCGAGGACGTCTTCGATCCCCCAATAGATCTCTCATCAGATGAAGAATATTATGTTGAAGAAAGCAGATCTGCCAGGTTTAGGAAGTCAGGCAAAGAGCGCATTGATCATATTAAGAAGGCATTTTCCAAAGAAAACATGCAGAAGACACGGCAGAATTTTGACAAGAAAGTGAGTGGAATTAGAACTAGGATAGTCACTCCTGAAAGGAGAGAGAGGCTTCGGCAGTCGGGAGAGAGGTTGAGGCAGTCAGGAGAGAGGTTGAGGCAGTCAGGAGAAAGATTTAAGAAATCGATTTCAAATGCCGCCCCCTCAAAGGAAGCTTTTAAGATTCGGAGCCTTAGGAAACCGAAGGACCCCAAGGCTGAAGGCCAGGAGGTAGACAGAGGGATGGGCGTGGACATCATCTCAGGTAGCCTGGCTCTGGGGCCCATCCATGAGTTCCACTCTGATGAGTTCAGTGAAACAGAAAAGGAGGTGACCAAAGTAGGGTACATTCCCCAAGAAGGAGGGGATCCCCCAAGTCCTGAGCCTTTGAAGGTGACTTTTAAACCTCAGGTGAGGGTAGAGGATGACGAGTCACTCCTGTTGGAGTTAAAGCAGTCCTCATAGAGGATTTAAGTATGAGCATCCATTGCTTCGAACCATGTGGTTGTAGTTTGAATGGTGTAGCAATTTATATTCATATACAGTGGAAAGGCAAATGGTATAAAAGCTTAATTCTTATCTTTAAAATCCTAAAGATGATGGAAATATTGTATAGAATTTTCTTATAATTTCTTTGGGAATTCTATTCCCCTGAGAATATATGACTCTGACTGCATCCCCCCCCACCTCACCCCCTTATGTCATGCCTTTTTGCGGCAGCTCTTGGCCAATGAGAAAACAGTTGCACGGCTCAGGTCAGTTAGATGGTTGGTTATTCATAGGAACAACAAATCTGTGCCCATCATTCACCAGCAAACTGTAGATTTGAGTCAGAATTAACACGTACAGTCTCAAAGGGGAGTAGCTAATGAGTACATTGTGTTACCCAGATGTTCACATCTGGAGATTCATTAGTGAATCAGTAGCCTTATGAAGCTTATGAAATTCTTGTGTCAGGGAAAGGAAATAGAAGTTTGGGGCTTGAACATTTATTTAGCTGTGGCAACATAACTTTGTGAGACACTTGGCTGGTCACCACTTATTCCCAATGGTAAAAATGGGGAGGGTTTGCTGGTCCTGTACTTCTTTTTTGGACTTGAGATCTGAGGAGATGTCACAGAGTGTGTGAGAACGAGACATAACAACCACTGGAGAAGCATGAACCACACTGGCCTCCCCTAAACCGGAACTGAACAGTTACATCTACGAAGAAGCCCTTGGCACAGACTCGGAGGCCAGAGTTGATCAAAAGCTGAGGTTGCACTTCACGAGTCTTCACGGAATGAAGAGTGAAAAACGAATGTTTGGATGGACGCTTTCTCATTAAAGGCTGAGACCAGACCTTGGCTTTTAGCCACGCCCTAACATGTTCCTTGGAAGGCTGGCTCTAATTTCCTTTAGATTTGGATGTGGGGTAGACAAGTGCAGCTTTTGCTTGAACAGCATGAGGTAGAAGTCTGGGGCTCGGTTGTCAAGCAGGGTTTTTTTTTATGGTCTGCCCTGATGTGCTGGGCATGGAAATGACCCCTGACACGCCTGTTTTCCAAAGCAAGCCATTTAGGGATAAGAACAGCGCCCAGCAGCTCTTGTCACAGCCACTTTGGAGGGTGTCCAGTTCCTCTTAACTCTTAGATTTGCATCTAGGTGGTCGAGAAGTAGATACTGCTGCTGAAGGAAAGCCCGACCGATTCTGCGCTTCCAGCACACTGAAATCTTTGGGTCATTTTCTTGATATGGTGGAGATAGTAGAATTTTTGATAATTTTTTTAATTCACATTTAGCTTAATTTGGAATAATCATGTAGTACTTAAATATATGCCGGCATAGGGATGCATGCCCGTTGCCCCAGCACCAAGAAGGCTGAAACAGTGTCACAGTGAAGTTGAGTGAACCTGGATTTTCTATATGTATACAGTTCACTATAGTTTCCTTTTCTCTCTGCCTGAATAGATGTTCTTCCTGCTTCCTCCTCCTCCTCCTCCTCCTCTTCTTCCTCCTCCTCCTCTTCTTCCTTCCCCTTCTCCTTCCCTTCCCCTTTCCCCTTTCTTTTTGGTTTGTTTGTTTGCTTGTTTTTTCGAGACAGGGTTTCTCTGTGTGGCCTTGGATGTCCTGGAACTTTCTATGTAGTACAGGCTGGTCTCTAACTCACAGAGACCTGCCTGCCTCTTCCTCCCCAGTGCTGGGGTTACAGGCGGGCACCAACACCACACAGCATCTTGTTATCTTTATATACTTCGAACTAAAGCATGTGTAGCATTGAATAAAACTTTGAAAGAATAATTCCAAACACATTCTTATAACAGCTTAGAAGGAGGCTAACGGTGTCCAAGAATAAATTTGAATGTGAAATGATGTTATTGCAAAATGTGAGGCTGGTGTTGCGGTTGTAAATCTTTTAACCGATGATGAATGGTAACAGCAATACGCAAATGAAGGATGAGTTAACTGAGGGTTAAATCAAGGCTTGAGGGAATATAGAGAAGTGACAGATGTGTTAAGTCGAGGGTAGGAAGAATATCGAGAAGTTACAGTGGTTGTTTTCAGTTTGCTTCATTTGATCTAAAATATTTTTTTCTGCAAATATCTGGGGCTTTAGTTTACTGACTCATTAATACGCAGCCTTGACAGCTTATGAAGCATTGCCCCTGCAGCTATATTCGATAGAGTCGGATTGGGAAGGAGTTATGGCCTGGCCAGCTCCTCATCTTGCTAGAGTTTGGCACCAGAACCACTGAATGTTTTGTGTTGCCAACAGCTCATTGTAACCCTGTGCTTCCTTCTCAGTACCAGGATTTCCTCTCCATGTTGTGAATATATGTCAGCATCTTCTTTTCATGTTTAGGACATCCCTAAATTCCACATTTAGAATCTCTTGGACCTTCTACCTGCTTCCATGGCTCGGAGAAGATGGGCTACAAAATTCACACACTCACTTAACATAAGTCATATTCTAGTCAGTGTTCATTTTTTTTTTAAAAGTCTCGGGTTACTTACTGATCTGTAATGCAGCATTACACATCAGAGTTTAAATAATTTACTCAAGTCAAACCGTTGTCGGGACTTACTCAAGTCAGACCCCCTTCTAGTAATGAGATGGAGCAGTGCAGCTGCCACAGATGCCAGGGGTGGGGGGCCCAAACCTATCTCCTGCACGTGGTGATCCAGGTATCCGGAGTGAACAGCGGCTTGGCCCCTGATTACAGGTTATAGAGAAATAAACATGGGCATTTGACTTGCTGAGAGTGGACTTGTATGTATTCCCCAAAAATAAGCTTTCATGAATGAAAATTACAAGCCAAAAAGAAAACATCTGACCATTTTGTCTTCCTTCTCTGCCTTTCATACACATTAAACAAATTGTTTTGGAACAGGCCTGGTGGTCATGGCGATTCTTATTTTAATTAAATATTTATTTATGCGTGTCTGTGTGTATGAGTGTACACTTGTGTGTGGAGCCAGAAGAGGCCATCAGGTGTCCTCTGGCAGGTCACCTATTCTCTGGAGGCAGGCTCTCTCCCTGAAGGTAGTACTCCCACTTTCTCATCTAGGCAAGGAGCTAGCAAGTTCCATCTTCCAACCTCTGCCTGCCTTTTACAGGTGAGCTGCTTTTGTGAGTGCTGGGATTCGAACTCTCTTCAGGGGTACAGAGCAAGTACTCTTTTAACTGCTGAGCCATCTCTTAACCCCCTCATTGTATTCTTATCTGCTAAAGGTCACATTATACAAAGTGTTCCTCGGAACCATGCATTTTTGATTAAATGAAATGAAATCACTGGATTTCTTTTATTTTTCTTTTTGGGACAGGATTTCTGTAGCTTCTGGTTTTGAACTCTGGTAAGAAAATTCAGGTTTGATCTCCAAATAAGGGGAAGGCTAGTCATGTTTCCATCCTCAGTTCTTTTACTTTGAGGTGTGCTGGTGCCTGGTCTGTAGTAAAGGAGCTTCCTCTCAGTTTTGGGTCACTCCTGTGACTCCTTTGAGCAGGCAATGCCCCAGCATTTACAGCTGCCCCTCCCAGATCAGAATCTAGCAGTGCTGGGCATTCCAGAAGAGCTGCTGCTTCACTGTGGGTCTCTCAGGACTTACCTACCCACGCTCCCACAGGGCTGCTTTTCTTGCTAGTCAGCCCTCCCTTCAGTACACCCATGCCCTTGAGAAGTAGAACTGCCTTGTAGGTTGAAGGCCACTGTGAGCTCTTCAGTCTATTCATTGTTCAAGGCTAGAGTTCTGCTTGCTTGTTGTGTGTTCCAAAGAAAGGCAACTCGTGATCCTTAGCATGGGTGGCTTTCTTCTTGTGTATTGTTTGACACCTGAAATTCCAACTAAAGCTGTGTGTTATTCCATTTAGACTGCAATAAAAGCTGCTGTAACCTGCTATCCTGGCCAAGGCCAGTTGCCAGGATACATGTGGCTGCTCAAATTGGCCTTGGTTGCTGCAAGAACCCCCATTTTTTTTTTACCATGATCCTTTGGTGTTTGTCACCTTGGATCTGAATCATAGCATAAGACATCAGAATGTATTAGGGATTTAAAATGCATTTGTAGGGCATATTCTTCCTCTTTCAAGTTCTAGCTGATGGAAGCACCACATAAGGCTTAGTAGCAAATTGCAGACCAAAGTGCTGTCTTTACCACAGGCTTTGCATATATACAGGAGCTATCCCAAATGTAAGGCATCTGACAAATTCCGATGGTAAAGGTAGCATGCAGCCAGGAGATAAGCCTTTGTGTCTCCTTGGGGAAGTGCATGTTCTGCTGTCGCTTTAGAAGGAAGCAAGATTTGGGAGCAGGGCATCCCTTTTCATCAATTGGTGCTGAGGCCTACAAGCCTGTCACTCACAGTCATTTAGAGTAGCTGAAATGAAAGCTTCCCTCCTGAGGCAGGCCTCTGCCCCACCAGGAAGTGGCAAGGGTTCAGGAGGTAGGTTTTTGGAATGGGGACACAGAATCCCCTACATATGAAAGCAGGGTTCAGTTTGAAGAAACTGCCTAGTTCGAGTCCTAATGTGCAGGGTTCAAAAATGTTGCCCATGGGCTGGAGAGATGGCTCAGTTGCTCTTGCAGTGTTCGGTTCACACCTACAAGGTGGCTTTCGGCACCTAAACTCCAGATCCAATACCTTCTTCCTAACTACAGGTACCAAGTTTGCACAGTTACACAAGCGTATACATAGGCAAAGCACTTGAGAATACGTATATCCGTCTTTTTTTATGTTACCCAATGAACTTGGCTGTTACCCCTTACTGAGGCCTGTTTTGGACATACTGAACTGAAGTGCTGATCTTAAGTGAGGGCTGATGGATAAGAACTGGCAAAATATAGAGCAAAGCTTAGAGGAGAAGCTGAAATAAACACATTTTGAGAGTGGAGGGTGGGGTGTCGGTGGGATAGTATCTTATATCCTAGGCTGGCCTCAAACATGTTATGTATGTAGTCAAGAATGATCTTGAATATTTGACCTTCCTGCTTCCATCTAGGGCCTTGCATGTTAAGCAATCACTCTTAACAACTGAGCTAAACACCCAGCCTCAGGCACTTCTGACAAAATAGGTGAAGTGGTGGGTTTTCATCAGTCAATCTTGACAGTTTGAAAGGAGAGGTTTTCATAGCTGACAAAATCCCAAATTGAGTTCTACTTCCAGGAAAATCTCCCTGGTGACTCTGACACCATTAATTAGGAAGGGCAAGGAATCTCTCAGGCATGGCTTAACTTAACTTACTTCAAGAGGAACCTGATGTGTGATAAGGGGCACAGTGGGGTAGGGTTTGCTGAGTCTGTGAAGGCATCACTCCAGGCTGGTTTTCCCATCATGTCATAGTGTAATAAAATCCGTTGAAATGGCTTCTTTAACTGTATGAAGACTTTCCCTGCCTCCAAAACCAGAATTGTCCAACTCTTAAAACCTTCCTGGAAGAGACCCCTAAGGGGCACCTTAGGAGCTTTTGCCTCCCCTCTTCCTCCCCCTCCGGAACTTGAAATCTATTTACTTTTTATCTCATTGACAATGAAGACCAGTTGGCCTTCTGCACAATGGTGTGGCATTTGAAGTGCTTACTCCTGGCTTTGACCAGTTGAGTTTTCTGGCTGGTTTTTTTTTTCACTGTTTCGCTGTATGTACACTTAACCACGTGACTAAAATCCATGGTTTCCTTCTTCATTCTTCCCGTTTCTGTATCTCATAGGAGCCCATTGAATTTTTTAATGTAATAATTATCATCTCTTTTAAACAAAGTTTCAAGCAAGTTAGAGAAAACAATCAACTGACTACATTATGGGTTGGTTTTCATCAG